ATACCTATTATAGTTTACTAGTATGTTTACTTGAACTGATACTATCTTGAAGAAAAGACTCATTTTATCTACTAAGTTATGATTGTACTTTAAAAACGGAGTTTTGTAAACTAAAAAGTAACATAACTTTAAAAGAGTTTTTGAAATGTTTTGATCACTTATAAGTACATAAGCAATCCTTTGAAAGATGTTTATAACAAAACATTTACACAATTATCATTGTGTCAAACTTGTATCCCCCCCCTAAAAGCATTTAAAACAGTTTAAAAGATTGATTATAAGGGTATGAACTCACCTTATGTAGGTGATTCAATCGAATATGCGCGTAAGGATGAGAAGTTCCACGAATGAATTCCCGAGACACAAACAAGTCCTAATGACATATAATGGCATATATTGGCATGAATTTAGTGTTTAAAGCAACTAACATGCAAGGAAACACCCTTAGGGACTAAGAAACACTTGGACTAAGTGTTAGAATCACATGTGATTCATCAAAGGGGTGTTTATGGCCACAACTAGGTGTTTACGGCCATGATGTTTACGGTCTAGGGTGTTTACGACCAAGGGGTTTACGGCCAAGGGAGTTTACGGTCGTAAACTCCTGGAGATCACCCTCAAATCGTTTGTTCTAGGTATTTAGGCTAATGATTCTACTAGGTAGCAAGTGTATGGAAGGAATACTCACGATTTAGAAGCTTGGGAGGGGGTTCACGGTCCAAGAACTAGTGAGTGTTCTTGGTGTTCTTGGTGAAAGTTGATGATCTTGAGGATCTAACCAAAATAGGTGATTTCATGGATGAATCATGACATGCTTACAAGGCCAAGAAGGAATAACAAGAAGGATGGATGAATTACTTACAATTTTTGAAGATCAAGACGAAGATCCTTATGATACTTGAGAGAAAATTCAAGTGTTCTTGAGGTGAAAGTGTAAGAAATGAAGAAAAGTGAAGGAATATGATACTTAGGGGCATGAGTTCACGGCTAGCAAGAGTTTACGGCCGTAAACTCCTTGAGATGGAGTTTATGGCTTGAATGATGTACAGTGAACTCAAGCAGATACTTCCTAACACTCATTCCTTGGATGCATTAGGCTTAGAACTCATTAGAATGACCCTTAATAAGACTAAAAGGCAAAAGAATTTAGTCTGACTTTTGGTTGATTGAATTGACTTTATCCGACAAAATTTTTTGGGTTGTCACATTAAATTTGTTCATATTTCTCCTCTATGCACAAATTTAGGGGGAGAATTAAAACCAAACAAAAAATCATAAAAATCATAAAATCCAAAAATCCAAAAATATGTTTATTTTATTTATGCTTTTATTTCTTTTTCAGAAAAATCAAAAATCCAAAAATATTTTTTTTTTCTGTTTTTGAGCGTATTTTAATTTTATTTTTTATTCTTAAGTTATTTTTATTGTGTGCTAAGTTTATTTTATTTTTATTTTTATCTAAAAAAAGTTTATTTGTCTTAAAACGCGAATTCAAAAGTAGAAGATACTCAAGGAGACTGTGTTGAAATTTTCTGTGCAAAAAGAGACATTGAAAGGAATTAAAGGAATTATACTTCACACTACTTTCACAAGGAATTGAAGGCATGAAATTGTACAAACTGTCAGTTAGGCAGTTTCTTTTTAAGAACTGTCGTATTTAAAGAATTGAAAGTTTGAAACTGTACAGATTGTCAAAATTGGTCTTGTCAGTTATCTTTACCTAAGAATTGTCACGGCACCAGGGCGGTTCACCCAACCGGGAAATAGATATCGATGAACATCCCGCCCAGGGTCTTGACATTTCTTTTGTCATGCAAAACTGTGGAGACTCAAATGTATTTTCGGATACATTCTCCATAGGTAAGGAATTAACAGTTATTGGCACTAGGGCGATGTACCTCGCAAGGCACAATTATCGCTGAATATCCCGCCAAAGGGCCTTGACCTCGTGTCATGCTAAACTGTGGAAATATGTCTTCGGATATTTTTTGTCACATGATGGTTTTGTGAGTTATTACTAATTAACTCTCACTGGCACTAGAATGGTACACTCAGCTGAGATTCAGAAACCATTAAACATCTCGCCAAGGGCCAAGTTAACTTGTTAACTTGAAAAACTGTATTGAGATCTTTGATTGAGGATATGCAGGGGCTAACATCAAAAATAGTCTTGAGTAGTTCTCCGATACTCAACAAATCGCAGTGCGTGCCTCCGTGTTCACACAGATACTGCGAGTAGTCTCCATCTGAGCCAAGGTTGGGTCCTTGAACAACTGTGGTGAGAAGGGTCCTTATGACTCTGATCTACAGGGACTTTTTAGTCATGGTTAATTTTCAAGACACATGTGATAAGGGTGAGCAAAGGCGGGTACCCGGCCAAAATGATAGGAACCGGAACCGAAACTGGAATCGCCAGTTCCTAAAATACTAGAACCGAAACCGGAACCGCCTTCATCGGTTCTTTAGATTTAGGAACTGGTCCCGGAACTGGTTAGAAGCTGTTCCAACACCGGGTACCCAGTTTAAAAATACTTCTAAAATTTTCTCAATATAATCATGATTATAATACTCATAATTAACAGTTCGAACCTTTTATTCGAAAAAAATTGTTCAAACCCACCTCTTTTAGACATAAACTTGTTTAAACTGGTTCAAATTATTAACACTCCTTGGCAGCCCACAAAGTTAGGCACACCTAAGAAAACCATCAAGGCTTTTTCCTTCTAATTGAATGACAAGCATTCCATTTTATAAGGAGTTGTATTCCTCTTTTTTCCTTCCCACGAACGATGTGGGATAGGAGGATTGAAATCTTTCTTTATTACTTCATCGCCTAAATTTTTTTCATTTACATTTGTTTTACATATAATTTTGCTTAAATATATAAGTGGCTGACTATTAATTATTTTGTAGTATCCACTGTGCTTCATATAAACAAACATAAGTGGTTGAAAACCTTAATTGATTCTTGTCTCAATGTGGAGATTTAAATCTCAAGATCTATACAACTGGATTACATGAAATTCATTTTAATATCAAAGCTCCATTAGGAAAATTAGGTAAAAAATGATAACTTTAATTCACTTCAATTCCAACGAAAACATAATATTAAATCTGAAGTTTTCAAACGTGATGTATAATTGATTATATATATATATATATATATATATATATATATATACACACACACACACACACACACACACACACACATACACACACACACACATGAACCGACACTGGCGGGTACCCAACGAGTAGCGGTTCCGAAAAAATAGGATCTGGAACCGGAACCGCTTAAGGCGGTTCCAAAAATTTAGGAACCGGAACCGGAACCGCTTAAGCCGGTTTCGCTTCCAGAACCGGCGGTTATGAGGCGGTTCCGGTTCCGAAAGCGGGTACCATATTCCACTGCTCACCCCTATATGTGATCGACAAAGAATTTTCATTCAAATGAACAAGAAGTGAAGATTATTTTTCAACACACAACCTTCAACCACAGAAGTAAGGTGAAGCTGTATTTGAAGTTATGTGCCGAGTTGCATTGAATCCTCCTCAATCAATTTGCTGCTATCTATGAACTTGCTGAAGTGATCCAGAAGAATCAGTCTCTCTGTTATTATCTCTGAAGTTTTTCAAAGCTTAAAGTGATGATTTTCAAGAACGTATACAAGAAGCCTCTTTACCCAATGTACGTTCAAAGTCAAATTTTTAAAGGAAGTCCAACTATTCAAGATGAAGTCATTCATGTAGAATTTCATATGCTGATCTTGAAGTTGTGAAAAAATCGAAGATAAAAGCTGAAGGTCAAGAACAAAGAGAAGATTGAAAAGAAAATAAAGCTATAAACCAAGGGGGGAGATTGTTAGGACATGATTTATGGTTTATATTTTGCTTTTGATGACTTTTAGAGTTCTCGGTTTAGGACCGAAAACACCATGTTTTCAGTGGTGTTTGGACCGAAGTCACCATGTGATTTCGGTGGGCTTCATGAGGGTTTCAATTGGATTTTGGATTGGGCCTTTGTAATTAGGTCTTAGTATAAATAGTATTGTTTTAGCCGTGAAAACAGTTAGTCATTCTAAGGAACTGAGATCGTGTTTTAGCGGAAAAGAGAGAACCGAGAGCTATTAAGAATCTTATGTACTAGACTATTCTTGAATATAGTGTGCATTGAAGATTCGATAATTGTGTTCTTAATTCATAATAACTGTTTTGCATTAATCACTTGACTGGGATTCCGCACCACTTTTGTGATTTCGATTGATACTCAAGAACGGGTTTTACAATCTTCCAGCTAACTCATGTAAGAAACCATGCAAACCCCATATATACGTGACTTCTGACCACTTTCCCTTTTGCATCCTGCACTTTCGCAGCCAATGCTTTCGCATCCAAAAGCCAAAACTAACCATTTGCAGTCACCTTCCTAAGCTTCGCATTCGTAATGACTCTTCCTGGTTTCGCATCCACTACTTAACACTTGTGATAGGTTGCGATTGTTTGCATCCATTCGCACCCGATCGCATCCAACATGTGACTTAGACTGTGAATGGTTGTGATTCACATTCGCATCAATAAATCACTATGAATATTGTATGTAGGTAGTCCCTCTTAAAAGGACATTATATATAAAGATAACAAATAATAAACAACCTATGAATGTATGAAGCGAAATATTTTTTTTTGGCAAAATAATACAATTCGTTGTAAAAACATTAGAAAAATTAAATAAACAATTCAATTTAGGAACAAAAATATTTTACCACACATCTAATTGCCACAAAATAGAATTGGAAACGATCCATTATATCAGTTTTGATGTTGGTGTAACTGTGAGAGTTTTTCATCCCAAAATTATGCAAGTAAACATGCAAGTTGACAAAGTTTTCTTCATGATTGTTGTATGAGAAACTCATTTATAAGTTGTTATAAAACAATAAATCATGAATTTTGGTTGTAAGTAAACTGAATTGGAAATACACATGTTTATATGGCCAATGTGTGTCAAGAATTTGTGTCCGCCTGTCCGGGGTACGTAATCAATCCTTACTATCAATCCTATATGTACAATTTTGAATATAGTGGTTCGGGATTGACTATGTTATTCCGGAATATGGCCACAAATTGAATCACTGCCTACCGCATCAGTCCGGAATGCATCATAGTTCTCTGAAATACCTTATTCCAAAAAAAAAATAGTCATTTTTATTATTTTCATTAAAAAGATATTTTATAACAGAAAGCTTCATTTCCCATTTAAATATTTTGTTATTAGCAAGTGTTAACCTTTGATTTAAAACAAAATTAAATTTGAAAGTTGAAATGGCCAAATGGGATAGCGTATGACAAATTGGTATATGTTGGGAAGGGAAGAAGGGGTCAGTCCTGATCCGGTCAAAATTAAGCTCTGAAATGGAAAAACAGCTGTGCCTCTGCCTGTGACTTTGACTTTCCAACTCCTCTTCCAATCAAGAACAACAGCTGCACCTCTCTTCGTAGATCTGGTGTACGACCTCCCAACTGGTGACATCTCTATCCCTATTTCCATTTCAATCGATGTAAATTCTAGTTCGGGTTAGCAATTTATTTAGGGTTTTTCACTATGATAGTGTTAAATCATATTTAGGGATCTCCCTGATCTGGAGTTCCATTTGCTCTTGAGCTGATCGGTTATAATCTTGTACTTTTTTTTGTTGAAAAATGGGTTCGATTCGTAATACAGTCTACTATTGTTGTGTGTGGAATGGGGGAAAAGTTTTGTATTCATACAACAGTGGGGGAGATCACGAGATTGAAAATTTGGCTGCTTTATGTTTGGAAAAAGCTCCTTCTCATCACAAATGGTACTTTCAGACCATGTTCAAGAAAACTTTCGGGTTCCTAATGGAAGATGGGTATGTCTATTTTGCCATAATAGATTCGACTCTTGGTAACCCTGGAAACCTCGACTTCTTACAACATCTTAGAGACGAGTTCAAGAAAGTTGCTAAAAAGGGATCAAATCTAAGCTTTACAAATCTGAATAATTCAGTCGTTTTGCAAGAACAGTTAGTCCCAATTATTCGTCGATTAATTGCCTCGTTAGAACATGTAACAGAGACGACATCACCTTACAATGAAGGTCTCTCTCCTTCCCCTATAAGCAATGATAACAATGGTAATCATGATAATGGGATTTCAACAAAAGCCCCTTTATTGGGAAAATCCAGCAAACAAGAGAAGAGAAAGATGAGGGATCATGTGATTACAGTGAGAGAAAATGGGGTGGCGGAGGATCACCGAAAGTCTGCAGATAAAGGGGGCACAAAGGCGGATTTGGCAAGTTTGGATTCTATTAATGAAGTTGGATCTATGACAGGTGTCACTTTGACAAAAGAAGTAAGTTCAATGAGTAGATCGAATACTCAAAACATAAGAAATAAATGGTGTCGTCAAGTTCGTATTGTTCTTGCCATTGATGTTGCAGTTTGTTTGATTTTGTTTGTTGTTTGGATAGTGGTGTGTCGGGGTACTGAGTGTATTCGTTAAGGAAATTCGCATTCGCGCATATTTCTTCTTTGAAATTAGTATATGGAAGCTGCACGTGATTCCCGATTTGAGATTCAAATTTTACAAGGTATGGGGTTCTTGATTATTGTTCATAACATCTTTGTTGTTTGAATATTTTTGTACATTTTTTTTTGAACATCTATTTAATGTACATTATCTTGTTGCCATGAAATCTAAAAGCTATTTGATGGAGGTCTTGTGATTGATCCTTGACTCTTATGTAAGTCTCTTGTTACAATATGAGGAGTCTATGGGAAGAGGCATGAAAAATGCGTTGTAGTGATTATAAATATTTGTTTCTATAAGTGATAAGTACATCCTTCTAATACATGTGATGGACTTGTGTATACATCATGATCTTTGGGTCAGACATTTTTTTCGTTGTTAATGATGTATGAGAACATGGTTGCTTATACCAAGTTTGAATCCACACACTGAGTGTGCTTCAATGAGTGGTTGAAACTTAAAAAATGTTTGGGGCTAGCCCATTTGACTAAGAAGGTGTTTATAACAAGGAGGTCATAGGTCATAGGTTCAATTTTAGACATATACTTCTAAAAAATAAAAAATAAAATAATGTTAATCGATTTTGCTCGTGGCTTTTAATGTTTATTATATACTTTTTTGATGTTTTCAAGGTTTGTTATTGATGATTTACATGTTCAATACCTAGAATATGTGGCTAGAATATGTGGCTAGTACTATGTGGGCTTTATTAATGTGACTAGTTTTTGTACTAAATAAAACTTATGGACCAAGTGCCTGGAATTTAGGTGTTAGTGTTAGTTTAAGAGTGAATTATATATTTTTATTTGTCAAGTTAAAAAAAAACATTATGGATAAAGAATTAAAGATCATATGGACCACCTTGTTATGTTATATATTACTATACTAAAATGGGCCTACCAAAAAGAATACAGCATATTATCTGGACGTCTACGTCGTATCTGTCCTAGGACCTATTATCTGAGACAAAAGTTGTGAAATACTAGCAATTTTGTAAGTACATATATTTTTATTCACCCCAAGCTCAATATGTTTCCATGTAAAAAAACTCACAAGTGTTCAATCTCTCACATTCGTCATAAGCACATATCAAATTAGATTTTTTTTTATCCCACAGAAAATCCGATCCGGATTTATAATAATCGGTTTGGCAATATACGGTTCGGATATAAGCGATCTGTCAAGAATGAACTGGATCAAGTTTTAATTTGAAATCGGATTTTTTTCCTAGATTTTTATTCGGATAAAACAAAGGGGTATTCACTAAAATAGCAATAAAAGAATGAATCTTATTTCAAGATAACCACGTTCGATATGTAATTATCTTGATATGTGAACTACTCATCCGAAAAAAGCTTGCGGTGATTAATGAAATTCGCGATAACAAAATTTTGTAATTTATTAATGATTATGTGAACTACTCACCCGATCAAAAGTATAGCTAGTATTTCTGGTTCATTAAGATTCGATAAAAAATGCTCCCAAAGGAAGGGGAATGAACGAAGGTGCAGCGGCGAAAAAATACAGCAACGGTGAACGACGATCATCTAACTAGCTTTTACGTTGTTGGCTTCCCGAGTGAGACGACGAAAGGAGATCTATGGAAGCCGTTTGGACGCTATGGTCAGGTGGTGGACGTATACCTGGGAAGGAAAAGAGACTACCGGCGACAATTTTTTGCATTCGTGAGATTCATGGGAGTAGGAGACGAGAAGAGTTTGGAAGGCAAATTACAAGGAATCAAGTATAGGAACGTTATTCTAAACATTAATCTCTCAAAACACCGAAGGCAACCGGTGAAAAAAACCTCTCACCCGCAAACACAACATCAGGCAGGTGGCCCTCCGCCTCCTCCTCTCCACCCACTGAATGGATGGAGAGATAGACGAACTTTTGCTCAAGTTATCTCAAATACAGCCGCAACACTAGTACAATCCACTGCTACTATAAACTTAAACTCACAGACGTGCATGAAGGAATGACTGAAAAAAAAGGTCTTGATTGGAGAAGCACATAGTCTAGACCATATTGGAAATCTTTCGGCCTCGCTCCTGATGAGTGACAACACAAAATATCTTGGCGGGCTAAGAATGGCTATAAAATTCGGTCATTCGAGGGAAGAAAGGAAATTCTTGGAAGATAAAAACAGATGGCAAGATTGGTTTAAATGGATGATACTTCCAGACCAACATTTGCTACAGTATGAAAGAAGAACGGCATGGATAAAGATTCTTGGATTACCGCTTAGGCTCTGGGAGGAAGAAAATTTCACCATGATTGCGGGAAGCTTAGGAAAGGTAATAGCGCCCTTTAACGAAATATCAAAAAGACGTGATTACTCAATGGGTAAAGTTGGGATATTAACATCTCGAACTAAATGGATCAACGAGGAAGTAACGATAATAGCAGATGGAAAAATAATCATTGTGGGTGTAATGGAATATACAGATGACTGGTCACCTTTTCGTCCACTGCCATTCGATAAGGTGGAAGAGGAGTCTGACAAAGATGAGATAGATGTCGATGAAGATGATGACGAGGTAGAAGGAGTCTCAGATACTTGGATGGGGGAATACAATAATAGCAAAAAAGAAGATGGTGAATTTTGGCCGGAAGATAATTACGTGGATCCTCCGGTGATGAATGATACAGTAGCCGAAGAGTCGCCGATGGTTGAAACTGAACGTGATCGGAGTCGGACTCCAAATAGCACTCCGTTGAAGGTCCATCTAGTTGACTCATAAAACGAAGGTGCAATAAATGATCCTATTGCTATCGGTGGAACTCCTATTATTGTTGAAACGATTGAAATCCCCGACAATAGGCCTGGTATGCATGCAGGAAGAGGATACAGGTGGCACGATGCCAATTAATCATTAGGATGAATTTTAAAAAACCCAGGCTCAACATAATGAATTTGGGCCAGTAGTAAATCCATTTGGGCCTATTCAAAACCTAGTCCCCCTTGGGTGCTTTGGGCCATTCCCAAACTCGCTTAAGACTTCTTTTCTAACTACAACAAAGGGGCATGAATTGGAGACCGGAAATAAATCAAACAACGTTGAGCTATGGATCAGGAAGAGAAAACGAATCAAATGTGCTACCAAATCTCCCCACTCCACAACCCCTAGCACCCCAATAATCAATTGTTGTCTGTCTCAATTGGAACATATGGCGCACACGAATTCGGGTTATGCATCCACTAAACCAGTTGAAATGTCGGTATCGGACACGTTGGAACCAGATGAAGCTAAGCGAACAGTAGAAATTGGGGCTGAGCTGGGATTCCAGATTGAAGTAGATAGTCGTATCTTAGAGCAAGTCATCGGTGAAACTGGCGTTCAACAAAATATCCCATGAATTGTATGTCGCTAAATATTCGTGGGATCGGGGAGGATGTTAAAGTACAATGGATTAGAAGACTAAAAATCAGACAGAAAATCAACTTTTTGGGGTTGCAATAAACTCAACTTTCGGATCATACAACTATAAACATCAAAGGGTGCTGGGAATCGAAGGCATTTGATTATGAAGGTATGGATTCCGATGGTAGATTTGGTGGAATGGTATCAATTTGGGATACAAAACATTTTAAAAAACTTGAAGTAATTAAATCTAGAAGGTTCTTGATTGTTATTGGCTCATGGGCTGGGATCGATGGGAATACTGTGTTCGCAAATATATATGGCCCACAATGCACTTCTGAAAAGAAAACATTATGGAATGATCTCATACAAATTAAACGAGTGAAGGCAGGTAACTGGCTGATATTTGGAGATTTCAATGTAGTCCGGAGGCAGGAAGAAAGATTTAACTCGCATTATTGTCCTAATAACGCAACTGCATTCAATTGCTTCATAAACAATGCTCGTGTCCAAGACTTTAACATGGGAGGTGAGAGATGTACATACATGACAAGAGTGGGGGTGAAACTTAGAAAGTTGGATAGATTCCTTGCTTGTGACAGATTTCTGAATGCATTCCCTTTACTAATGTAACGACCCATCCTAGAGAAATATCATATCACTGCCCAATCATGATTACCACCAAGGTGGTGGACTTTTTCCCCCTGCCTTTCAAATTCTTTAACTCTTGGCTAAAAGTTGAAGGAATTGATGAAGTTGTTTTGAATGTGTGGAATGGATTCAATGGCTACGAATCAGCAGATGTATACGTGACTGCAAAATGTAAATTTTTGAAGGATGAAATTAGGCCATGGAGGAATGAGAAGCATCTAAAAGAAAACCATGAGATATTTAATTTGAAAGATACGATTGCAAAACTTGAGAAGCTGGCTGAAACTCATATGTTAACTAAATCCGAATTAGAGTCGAGAAGTAATGGATTACAAAGGATATTATCACTCGAAAAAATGGCTGAATTGGATGTAAAACAAAAGGCACGTATGAAGTGGGCGGTGGATGGTGATGAAAATACAAAATTCTTCCATGGACACGTCAATAGTAAAGGAAGAAAAAATTGCATTAATGGACTGATGACAAATGGAAGATGGTCAACTGAAGCTAATGAGATCAAGATGGAAGCACTCCAGTTCTTCCAGAATAAGTTCAGGGAGTCTTGGGTGTCTCGCCCAAAGCTGATCAATTCCAATTTTAAAACATTGTCGATGATGCAGGAAATCAGACTTGAAGCACCACTTACCTTGGATGAAGTCAAAGGAGCGGTGTGGGCCTGTGGCAAGGAAAAAGCACTAGGCCCCGATGGGATTACTTTTAAACTGATTAAAAAATATAGTTCCATATTCTCAAATGATATCATGAGGTACGTTAGGTATTTTGAAGATCGTGGGACTTTAGGGAAGGGGTGTAATTCATCGTTCATTACCCTTTCCCCCAAAGTTAAAGATCCAACTACACTAAATGAGTTTCACCCCATCAGTTTAGTTGGATGCATTTACAAAATTGTTTCAAAGATCCTTGTTATCATAATAAAAGCAGTCATGGGAGATGTTATCGGGGAGGTTCAATCAACATACATGGAGGGAAGAAACATACTTGATGGACCCCTAATCATGAATGAGATAAGTGGCTGGGCAAAGAAAACCAAAAAGAAAATATTGTTATTCAAAGTCGAATTCGATAAAGCCTTTGAATCGATTAATTGGGAGTATCTGGATTCTGTTGGATTAGGTGTCTAAGCCCATAACTATAATTGGTATGTACTTGAAATTAATTTGGAATTAATTTTGGGATTAAAGGAACTGATTGAAATTACGAGGACTGGTTTTGCAAATCAATTATAGTTGCAAAGTTGGGCTGATGGACTCCTTTACATGGAGTGGACGAAATCTATAGGAGGCCCTATAGAATTTCTTCCAAGGCTTCTAGGAAGTAGGTCCATGGACTGCTTAAGGCCTAAGCAATCATATTAAGGTTTCCACCTGAAAGCCCTAACAGACTCAACTATATAAAGAACCCCTTGGCATGTGATTTTTGGCCTATGAATTCTAAGAGAAACCCTAGCCGAAAATCATAGTGTTCTACCCTCTCTCTCTCACTCATCCTTTGCTATTGGTGTTTGTGACTCCATTAGAGGTGCAACACTTGAGGCACTAAAGCTTTCAAGAGTCAAGATCATCCAAGGAATACTTGTTATTACTAGATTACAAGCAAGATAACATTCTAACCCTAGTTTTCATATAGATCTCGAAAATTGTATGCTAGTATTAGGGTTATTGCTTTGGAACTTGTATTTGCATGTATAACTAGAGAAAAACCTAGATCCAAAGCAATTAGGGTTGCATGAACACATAGGAATGTTGTTGTGCTCAAAACCCATCAAATTCGACTATGGAGCAAATATGATTTGGTAACAAATGGAGAGCATGGATTCGCGGATGTTTGTCTTTAGCTCGTACTTCGGTTTTAATCAATGGAACGCCTACCAAGGAATTTCGTATGACTAAAGGCGTTAGACAAGGTGATCCCATATCACCTTTTCTTTTTATAATTGCAATGGAGGGTCTAAATGTTGCTATGAATTCGACAGTCGAGAAAGGAGTATTCCAAGGCATAAAGATTCCTGGCCCTGGTCCAATAATCTCACACCTATTCTATGCTGACGATGCCCTATTTGTAGGGGAGTGGTCGAGATCAAATCAAAAAAAAATCTAGCCCGAATACTTAGTTGTTTTCATGTCTCTTCAGGCCTTAAGGTGAACTTTCATAAATCAAAAGTGGTTGGGATTGGAGCATCTGTGCATGAAACATTCCAATGGGCCTCCATACTCGGTTGTGAAGCGGGTTATCTCCAATTCACTTATCTTGGAGTCCCCGTTGGTGCTAATATGAACCTGGTAAAGAATTGGCAGCCTATCATCGACAAATTCCATGCCAAGCTCTCATCTTGGAAAGCTAGAACTCTCTCATTTGGAGGACGACTAACTCTCATAAAGTCAGTGTTGGGAAACTTGGCCACATATTACTCTCTCTTTTCAAAGCTCCTCATGGGGTTATTGAAAAACTCGAGAAAATAAGAAGAAAGTTCTTATGGGGCGGTTGTGAAGATAAGAAGAAGATACATTGGGTGGCTTGGGCGAAAGTCATAGAGTCTAAAAAGAATGGAGGCTTGGGAGTTGGATCGATTAAAGCCTTAAGCATTGTGCTTATAGTTAAGTGGTGGTGGAGATTAAAAACTGAGCCTAATAACCTGTGGGCTAGTGTTATATATGGTATTTCATAATCTGCATAACAAGCCAATTGAATACCTATAAAAAAAGCATTGGTGGTGCGTGGAATAATATAATGAGTGCTAAAAGAGATGTACACTCATCTGGATTATGGTATAATGACATCATACGAATGCAATTGAAGTCTGGGAATATTATACAGTTTTGATAGGATGGGTGGTTAGAAGAGACAACACTAAAAGTGAAATACCCATCTTTATATCAACTCGAGGCACATAAACTTTGTAAGGTGGAGTCAAGGATAGATGATGATGGTCTTAATTGGGACTGGAAATCGTGTCCGCTGCAAGCAGGCCTATCACTAGAATTGGCAAATTTAACTAGAGACTTAGCCCAAGTACGTCTACAACCTGGTCAAGATCAATTAACGTGCTCACTTGCACCGGATGGAAAGTACAGGTGGAGTTTTTACAGAAGAAATTAGATCAGAAAAATATAACCATCAAGGTCACATATAAATTGGAGTGGAGCAAGCTTATTCCCATAAAAGTTACATGTTTTGTGCGGAGTACGGCTCAAAGGAGGATCCCATCAGCACTTGCACTGGCGGGCAAAGGGATAAGTGTTGAGACATCAATTTGTAGTTCCTGTATTGGTGAGCTGGAGTGTGCGAATCATCTATTAATCAACTGTCCTTTTGCCAAATCGGTTAGGGAGAAGATCTTTAATTGGTGCGGATTAAATAAAAATGGTATTCATAATGTTGGGGATCTAGTGAAGCTAGCAGCATCCTGGGGTCAAAGTACTAAAAACGTGAAATATTCAGGGCCATTTGCTATGGGCTATTATGGGAGGTGTGGAAAGCTATAAATGATAGGCTATTCAAAGGGAAATTCAACTCTCCAACATGTGTGGTGGAAAATATCAAATCATTGGTACACATATGGGTTAACTGCAGGGGTAAAGGCGTAAACTGTAATTGGGAAAATTGGTTTCTTCATGTATTTTTCTAAACTTTTGGCGTTGTTCCTGTTTTACCCCTGCTCAGCCTCTTGCTGGTGTAGGGTGCTTTTATGAAATTTGGTTGTTTCTAAAAAAAAATCAAAAGTATAGCTAAAGTGCATTTATTAAAAAGTTCATATACATATTACCAAAGGAAAAAAAATGAAGGAAGCGTTTGAAAATGCTTTTGTAATAAATAAAATATGTCAAAGGAATCACAACATGAATAAATTGCAATATTTATCTAATATGTTTGATGTTTAGTTTGTCTATTTATCAAATAAATTAGAAAATTAGTTATTACTTCAGTTCCATATTTACTGTCTACTTTTTTTTTGAACGACAATATTTACCGTCTACTTTTGATTTTTAAAAACTTTATTCTTCAACTTTGATCTTAAATACTTTTGTTTCAAGTAATATATAATACAAATAAAAATATTCAAGGCCAAAGTTAAAGAATAAAGATTTCAAAAGTCAAAAGTTGACAATAAATATGATATAGGAAGAGTATTTAATAAGATCAAAATATTATTTTATTAATTTTTTTTGTAACTTATTATTATATTTTAATAAAAGTTATAAAACTCATTTAAATAAAAAATTCATTTGTTATCTTATTGGTTCAAAACTACGTTTTTTATTGAATTTTCATGTAATATATATATATATATATATATATATATATATATATATATATATATATATATATATATATACTATCTTATTATACAAACCTTACTATTTCTAAAAATAGATTTAAGACGTCCAAACCTTTAAGCTGAATGTACAAACATTTATCAACAAATTACAAAATACAATGCATTAAGCATAAATGTAAAATTAATATAGAAACATTCAAACCTATGTCCTTATCTTACCCAATATAGAGGATTTATGCATTCAGTTCGTCAACGGTTGAAAAGTCAAAAAATAAGATTTTGAATCGGTCAATTACAGCCTGTTATCATCATCCCTTAATTTCCAGCCGGTGGAGATGAAAACCCGCTCAAACAACTCAACAATTTGAAATTTCCACTTAATCCTTGTGGTTCCTATGGATCTATACATCTTGCATCATACAACTCCGTTCACATTTGCTCCAAGTCCCCCTCTCTTACTCACCGATCACATCCACCGTCTCCGCACCACTAACAACGCCACTTCACTTCTTCAACCTCACTTCTTCAACACGAACATGCTCCTGCATTCTCCTCCTCTCTCATTTGTCCTTTGTCTTTCACGTCGACGAATTGGATTGCCAGACTGTTACCCTTTAATCAACGACCACCTGATACGGATTCACCAAGGTACCCCTTATCTTCGTATTTGGGAACACTTTTCTATTAGAGACCCAAAAGGCTTCTCTTTGTTTCTGTTATCTTGCTCCATTCAAGATCATGAGAAACTTTTCATTCGACTTTTTTGTTACCTTTTCATTATCAAATTTCTTTTGTTGTAGGATAAAATCGGGTAGACCAGCAAGAAATAAAAATATCTTTATGTGCGTGTCTAACAATATCGTGCCCCAAAGCTCATTCTCTATCTCGATTTCAATCCTTGAAACTTACTCTTGATCTTGATATTTTGTAGATAAGAGACACCCTACGATTTCAAGCCCTAAATTTCAAAGGTTAGCAACAGTTTCAAGCCCTAAAAATCACTTTTGATCTCGATTTCAAGCCCTAAACCACAGTTTTGATTTTGATTTTGATGTTTTGCAGATAGGAGACAAGATATGATTTCATGCCCTAAACCTCTCTCTCTCTCTGGTTTACCATCAAGGACACAAAACATTACGGTTTTGCTTTTTTTTTTCTTTTCTTCTTTTGATTTGTTGCATACACATAAATTTTTGCTACATACATTTAAAATTAAAGATCTTTTTTCGAATTGAAGGGTTGGATTTCATATTTGTATGTATGTTTAACAGGTGAACCTGAAAATAGAAGGTTATAAAAAGGTTGGAGGCGATTGCAGGAAAAAATTCCACACAGAGGTATGTATTTTTGTGTGTAGGTGTGTGTATCTCTGTGTGTTTTTATGTGTATAGTTAAATCTACTTTAAACCTGATCTATCTGTGGATGAGTGGCCACAGGTTTGTGGTTTTCATGTTATATCTCCTTAAATGCCAAAGCTTCCTTATATCGTTTTCACTTTTCTATGAAAATTCTGTAATTAAACTTCTGAACATGTATTTGTGAGTGAATGATAAAATAGGAGGAACAAAGAAGTATGGAAACGGAACGGGAATCAGTAGATGCAGAAATACCCCAAATCGATTTCTAGCCCAACCGCTCCAGATTCAGATCGTTTCTTCCATTAAACCTCTATCGCCCATTTTCTAATGCTTCGATTTTCATCAGTAAGTGTCAATGCTTTGTCTTTCTCTCTATTCACCTCTTCTGAGCTTTACTTATTTTAACTAATTGTCAGTCTTGGATTCTCAATTTTGTAAGTTTTGTTTGTCGATTCTGTCATCTTTGTGTGCTTTGACTTTCAAATAAAGTTCAATTCTCAGTCTCAGGTTCGAGATTCACATCGTTTCTTCCATTAAACCTCTATCGCCCATCTTACAATGCTTCGATTTCCATTGGTAAGTGTCAATGCTTTCTCTATTCGCCTCTTTCTAAATCTTTGTTTTTCTTTTTTAATTGATTCTCAGTTTTAGATTCTCAATTTTGGAAGTCGTAAGCACCACCGCACCACTAACCAGTCAAAGCCCTCCAGAAACATGACCAAAAAATAATCTTGATCGATAATAACTAAAATTCATAGTAATTGTTTGCATTCATCTGTGCTCCGACCTAACTATTCTCACACTCTCCCTGAGGATAAGTGACTTGCTTCTTCTTTTGTTGATTAGTTTCCTTTTGAAAAAAGTATTGCTTAAGACTTTACTCATATGACACTATGTATGTGTGTATGTGTGCGTGTTGTTAAGGAGAAAAAGGAATGCTTAGCAGTTGCCCACCAACTGTTCGATGAAATTCCACTAATACGTACACATAATTGCACCGGGCGAAGGTAGCATGGTCAATCAATTCTCTTTTCTCCTTTTTGCCCTTATTGTTATTTTTGTGTACCAGATGATAAAATCACTTACTTAGAGATATACACCTCTAAAGATGCAGTCATTAAAGGGTCAAGAAAACTTAAGATGGTGTTTGGTATATTAAAAATCAATTTTGATATAATTTTTACTTGAAAAAAAATGATAGTTTTATTTTAAAATGTTTGTTGTGTGATGTGCTTAGTCCCAGAGAATGGTGAGACTCCCATGGAGCTTGATGATTTGGACTTTAAAAGCCCTGGCATTGCATTTGCAATGTATAATGTTGATGAGGTTTGGCTTTTTAATTTTTCTACCTAAAACATTTTATATCATAAAATTATTAAAGTCTTACTATGAGAATTTTATGTTTTTTTGGTAGTCTATCTATGCGTATGGTGAATTATTAATGGCAATGACACTCTCAAAGAGATCACTTTTATATTTGAGCTCTAAAATTACTATTTCGAAGAAATAAGATGGGAGGTATTAGTATCATTCTTTTTAATATAGAATTTGCTTCGACATTATCTACATACAATATTTGTGGCATTATGGTATACTATATTTTATCATATGGTACATACAATGTATGTTGATGGTGGTTGTTGAATGGTATATAAATGAAGTAATACAAGTGTCTGAGTGCATGAGACACACAGAACTTGGATTTAGAAGGATCCCGACCAACCTTGAGTCTCGGTCTTATATCGGGGTAATTCTCAGTTACAAGTATCTCATATCATATCTCTATGTATGTTATCTTAGGCATATAATTTGCACTTCACATGGCTGAAAAAGTGTTTTATAAGTTTCGTTTCAGATTGAACTTTTTTTGTTGCTTAGGATTTGTTTGATCATTAAATAATGGCCATTCAACAACCTGGTGACGTTTTGGATTTACCGATGTATTATTCGTCCAACAAACCTTGTATAGTCAAGGCAACCAATATGCTAACCGTCTTTGAAAGAAAAGTTCAAAGTGTTTTTTAGTATTAATGGTCAATGATGTTTGACATTAATTTTTATGGATATTAATGTTTGACAGTAAAGTTTGAAGTCATTTTAGTTTAGTGTTCAAACATTTTGAGTATTAATGTTTATTAAACATATGTGGAGTATTATTATTTAGTTGTTTATGTGTAATTTGACAACACTTCAATAGTTTATTCTTGTCTACACCTAGCTAAAGCCAAATATTTTATATCAGTTCAAAAACTATATTAAAGTACATTGTCTTTAATGACAAATGAATAAAGTATTTTTGTTATTACCTACATTATTCTAATAAAGACCACGACAACAGAAAACCGAAACTATCATGAACTTTTTTGGAGGATGTTGGAGATAATTTTTTCCTTTTTGAAATGAGTTGTAATGCTCAAATGAAGAAATATGAAAAAAAAACAAAATAAAACTTCAACTTAAAACTATTGTTCAGTTATATGTTAAATTATATTTTTATATATTAAATTCATTAAATAAACATGTAATTAAAATTAAAATTGCATCTAATTAACAATAAAATTTTTTTCTTTTTCTAAAATGACTACTAACTGTAAAAAAAAATACAAAGACTAATATATATATTTATTACTTAAAGTTTCATTAAAAGATTCAAATTAACTTCAAGCATTTTCTTATTTTCGTATATTTTCTTATATTATTATACTTTCTATATAATAAGTAAATTTATAGGTTACATACAATTTCTTTTTAGGACAACCTATATCTACATAAACCTAATTAGATGGAACCATTTTTTGGCAAATGATATGTGGCGATTTTTTGTGAGTTCTTTCGAACCGATTCGTATCCAGGTTTTTGGAACATGTTTCAAGATGGAACAATTCACGACCGTTGTGTGTTCTTTAAATATGATATGTCATTAAAATCAATGTTTTGAAAAATGGTTTTTTAGTTGAATCACTTTGGTGATCATTTTAGGTTCAACCAGTTCGAATGTCGGTTCAACCCGCTTTCCATAATTTTTATATATTTTTATTTTCCTATGTATATATATATATATATATATATATATATATATATATATATATATATATATATTATACAAACCTTATTATATCTAAAAATAGATTTAAGACGTCCAAGTGTTTAAGCTTAGAGTACAATTAATTACTACTAAAATAATGTTAAAATTTTAAAATGTAAATTAAAAATACTTAATTAAGTATATCCTTCGTTACGACTCGGTAATGACCAATTCATATCACAAATCCAGGACTTATAGTTAGATCCTATTTTGAATTCCAAAATTCCTAATATCTCGCCCACATCTCTTAAATGATGATCACCGAGGCACCGATCATCAGTTAACAACCACCACCAAGATTTGTACCTTCGTTTCCCTCATACCCCATTTGATTCATGAAGCCCTAATCGAAAACCCGAACGATAAATTGAAACCCTAATCGTTTGTTCGGAAGAAGATTTCTATGCGTGTTAATATCTATCCTCTCTATACTATTCAATGAAGCACCATTATCATCACCACAGGACCACCTTACCATCATCTCTCTTCCTCCCTCGATGTACATAGGTAAGTCACAAATCATTTTTTTTTGTTTTCCTCAATAATAAAATATGCGATTTTGGGTTTTATATTTTTCTCATTTGTTGCCAATAGCTTTTATTCAATGTATCTTCTCGTGATCTTGTCGATATTTACATAGGTAAGAGGAGAAAGGGTTTGTTTCTTGAACTATACATCCTCCTATCACCCCGCGATGAACCAGATTTGGGGCTAAGGGTTATGTACGTTACTGGATACCATATGTTGAGATAAGGAGGATCATTAATGCATGATACCTATGAGGTCTTACAGGACTATGGGTATGTGTGCAAAAATGAAGTACAAAAATCTTTAGTGATTTTTGCATTTTTATGCTTGGATTTGCAGGTTTAGTGAGGTGTGAATGAGGCTATCAGAAATATAGACTTTGATTTGTAGGTTTCCAAACAATTTATTTTGTCTATTCGTTTGATACGTTCTATATTTTCGGGGTATAAGTTTTAATTTCTTAGTAATGCTCGAAATTATTATAGATTCTAACATTTTAATACAATTTTAGCATTTGGAACGAACTGTAACACTATAGTCAGTTGATTCCCAATCATCCAACAAACATATATATTATGCTGAAGATAGGTCTGGCCCTGTCTAAGTTTATCTTCTATTTGAAAACTAATTAATTGCACTTAATTTTGTATGTTATGCTATCTGTAAGATGTTTTACCTATTCCTATATTTGTTAGACCTTCAATATATGAAAATATTTAGATCTAAAACGGTGGAATGGTTGGTGCTGTTTTTTTCATCAGGTAAATCTTTTATGAATTATTTTATATGCTTTTGTCAACATTAGAAAGAAAATATTCATCTTTTTAAACCTTTTAGTTATTCTTTGTAGGTACTAGGTAAACATCAATGGCGACATTGCACCTCCACCATCACATTATTGGCAGGTAAACCATCATCTACTACTATCACTTCATTTAGACCAAGTTTGGTCTAAAATTTGACACCTTCTTTTGTACAGTGGAGAATGTAATATGCATAACTTGCTTTTTCCCTTGAATATAAACTCTTATAATCTTTTTATATGGTAAGTGAATATAATAAAACACTATAAAAATGGTGAATTTTATGTAAATAAATGGAAATAGCATTCCCCTAACGGAAATACGTCATTCAATCTTGACATGTAAACGCTATGAATTTTATGTAAATGTGCTCCCCTGCTGGCATTCTGGAAAATTGATAGTTATGCGTCAAGTTTCGAAGATCTACTGATACTTTAAGTTGAAATATGTTAATTTACCCTTTCATTGGTTAGGTGTAATTTTTTTACATTCCGGTACCGGTAGTTTTCAGTATTTTAACCCTTCTATCTAAATATTTTTTGTATGGCTTAGTTTAGCGGTCAAGTTTTTGTTATAACCAAAGCCAATCTTATCAAATTCCAAGGTTAAAATATGGTTTTTATGTTGGATTTCAAGCACAAATGGTGTTTTGGGGAAAATGAAATAAAATTTCCCATTTGTAATGTTTTTCGTCGAGGTAATAGCATTGTACTTTAAAAAGGAAAAAAAAAACAAATAGAATTCCAAGGTTAGGTTGATTTTTTACATCAGTAAATTTTGGTTCTATTCTGTTACTCTTAGGTGTATTTTGAAATACCTAAAATTCCCTTTACTGATGTTTTGATTTTGATTT